CAATGTCTAGAAAAGAATGTAAGAGGAAGAATGAGGAATCATCAATTTATAATTTGATGCATTCCATTTTAGTTGATCGATGGAATCAGAGCAACACAAGGTTACATTACTTGGCTCATTCACTAAATTCAAAGTGACTTCTTACTTCTTAATTTATTAATCTTCGTTTGCTATTCTTTAACAATTAACACAAATTATAAAAGCCTTTTTATTTTCTAGGTATTGTACTGCACAAGGAGCCTGAGATCTCTTATGAAAGATCAAAATATTGAAAGACATTTTCAAGTTCTCAGCAGCTACAGATGGTTAATATCGAATTCCTAACCACAACACTTCGTATGATGCAGGTTAATGTATATCATAATCATGGAAGATTATGCATAGGGACAGGATTACTACACGAACATTGCAAGAATTAGCATCAAAATTACTTAGGTGTCCATGTTTCTTATTTTGTTGTAAGAGGAATTAGAGTACCCACAAGTTATTCGTCCATAACAAGAAACAAAGTGAATCCAAAACACCGAGAAAACTTGGTATTTGTTCATACAGATATTCCCTTTTTCTCAAGGACATTATTCAAACATTCTCAAGGAGAGACGAAGATGTAGGATATAGGTGAAGATGAATTTAAAACTTTAATTGCATTGTCATAGTAGAGGTTGCAAACCTTTATGTTGACGAGCCAGAATTTGAAGTCATTGCGTTTTAAGTGTAAGAAAAATGATGATTGTCACAGAGCCAGTTCTATAGAAGTTTGTTCCAATTAAGATAACTTTGTATTTTGTTTTGCTCTTGGCATACACATTCTTGAGGTATATTTGCAACAGTTGGATATACTTATAAAAATTTTGGGGAGGGGTATACTTGTAACATATTGGAATAAGTATTCATGTATGCTCAATATAACCAGTGATGAAAAGTTGAAAATCAAATCCGATATTGATGTCAATGCAAATTATTAATTTCAGTATATACATATATATAGGCATACATTTTACAAATCTGTTGTGTCTAATACCAGTAATTATGCAACCTAGGCCATCATTCCCAGCCAACTATGGTGCACAGGTGCAGCCTGTGTCTGTTCAAAACTCGTCAGTCAGACTTTATGTTCTCTGAAACTGAATCTTTTGTCACTCCTTCAACTTGAACAAGAAGGTAATATCATTGCATGACCCTCTTTAGAGCCCAACTTTTACTTTCTCATCACAAAAAATTAGTAGCAAGCTAATTGATCTTCGCTTAAATGGAGGGGTAAATGCCCGTTTTCAGAAAACATATGGGAGTTTCACTGATGGTGGTTTTTCCTTGTAAGAATGTACAGAGAATTTCGTAATATTAACCCTGAAGGAAATAGTTAAGCCACACACTTCCCTGACATTTTATGATTTTATCGTTATGAAATTTCATTTGAATCTTAAATAAATGACCTACTCAATCCAATAAAATCATATTAAAACCACTATTATCATTTTGACCAGAATCCGCACAATCAAAACGAGTAGCTTAGCAACAACATGAAGTTTTTCCAAAATGAAAATCCCCGGCCACAATGATGCAAATTATTCAAGAGAATTAGGAATCCCACTAAGAATACCAAATACCAATCTATCCAGCATACTCAAAAGTTTTCAACTTTGTCCCATTCAAATGAACTGAAACTCTATAACCAAATCTATACTAAGTATCATCATAAAGATCAAGATTGTACATTCTCTCAAGTGTAAACCGAGTTTGATCATAATTTCTTGGTGCTAGGATTTCACAAATGTACTCATCTTCAACTTATCTCAATATAACAACTGAATTGAATATGGAAACCCTGGCTCAAATTATCCACCAAAGTGAGCAAAATGGTGAAGGCTGCACCCCTAGATCTATGACAATAAAAATCTAAACTTTTTCACAATGCAACAACAAGATATTGAGAGGTAACTGACCGCAGTAGCATCCAGTGACGATAGCGAGGTTGGCGGCATAGCTGACGGCGAGAGGTCTCCGACTCTTCGACACCAATCCAAACAATCCGCCAGCGATCCCTACAAAAGACGGGGGGAAAGGGAGAGAGAGTATAAGAGAGGATCAAATATTTGAACTTTTTAACCCTAGAAATTATAAGTTGGGATGGGATCCTAAAGAATGAGAAATCAGGGTCGAATTAGATTATACCTGCGAGGATCGTGGGGATCGTGATGCGCTGCTGCCAACCATCGGAGGGTGATTTAGGTATAATTTGCTTGCTGGGGGTTTTGGGGTCCGAAGGCATCGTTGTTTACGAAAGAGGGAAAAGATTGTGTTCGTATTATGCGAGGCGATTAAGAGTCCTACGAACTCAATGGAAGTCGAATCTCAGTCAATTTCTCAAACTTAAACACTTTTTTTTTTAGTGTTTTCACAACTGCTTCTAAACCGTATCGGTATCCGAGAAAATATCTGTAACGATATCCGTTAGGATAGATATATAGTTACTTAAATCTATAATTGATAGGATTGTTGGAGTTGTCACTTAAAACTTTATTTTGTAGTGTGAAAGTTTAGTCTCACATTGGATAAGAGATGGGAATGAGGGTTCTTTATAAGCTATGCCTAGAAGGAATAATGGGTTATGCTCCGCACCACACACATGTGCGCCGAACCAAACCGGTTCGGGTCGGGAGGCGCGCGCGCTCAGTACCTGCGGACACGAATGCAGCTTCGGATTGAGGGGCCCCTTAACCTGCTACATTTTAGATTTTTGTTTTTGCAAATTAGAACAATTACAACATGATTAATATGGTGCAGGTTAAAAACGTGATTAATATGGATCTTCTCTTCAGGATAATTAAAACGGCTAGGAGAATTAAAACGAGAAATTAAAACGGCTATCTTTAGGAGAAATTAAACCAGAATTAAAATGGAAGCATGTCTTCAGGAGAATTAAAACGATAATTAAAAACAACAATTAAAACGGCTATCCTTAACCTCTATAAAAACTCATACCTGCAAGGCTAAAGACATAGATTGAAAACTGAGCTTCTCTTTTCTCTTCCCTTCAAAAATCTCTTCTTGTTGTTATATTTTCGCTGGTTCCCTGAAAGTTTACGAAGAATTCGCAAAGCCTTCTTAAAGCTCGTGCCGACGGGAAGAAGGTCGCCTGACCGAGGGTCGTAGTATCTCCGGAATCCATTGCCGTGTAGTCCTGTACGAGAGGGGGCAATTAGATTCTTGGGACAGTGTCTTGCTCGCTTTCAGGCTATATTCTTAAACCCTGTTTAAATTTTTTATTCAACTTTTTTTCTAAGTTATATTTTTAATTTGTTATTTTTCGATTTCAATTAACTGTTAAAATTGCATTTCGTGCTAAATACAGTCTAAACAGCACTTATTTTCCCAACAATCCAAGAATCTAATAGTGCTGTTTAGAATAATATCATGATTAGTATCATGTTTCTTATGTTTATGTTGTCTACACTTTATAAAAATGACATGTTGGTTGAATGCTTCAATTATGTTTGTTACATTATAATAACAAAACTATTCATTTATTATCAAATTATGGCTACAAGTGAAATCCTATCAGCTAAACCAGAGAAGTTCGATGTGAATAATTTCTGTCGTTAGCAAAACCAAATGAGATTTTGGTTAACGACCCTAAATTTGATAACAGCTATTGAACCTGATAACTCATCTTCCTCTAGACCAATCACTAGGCAAGCTTCCGCTGTAGATTCCATTCCTATCCCGAGAATACCTCAAGAGATAGAATACCACTACCTGCACAGAATCTTAGGAGCCTTATATGATAGATTATACGACATCTACTACTCTATCACTAATGCTAAAGTTTTGTGGGAAACACTAATGAAGAAGTATGGTTTAGATGATACAGGAATTAAAAGATTTAAAACATCTGATTTTAACAAATTTAAAATGGTAGATTATAAACCAATGAATGAGCAAATTCATGAATTCGAACACATAGTTCATCAAATAAAAAATGAATAGATCTATCTTAGATGAAACATTTCAGATAGCATGTCTTATAGACAAACTTCCTGAAATCTGGTCAGATTTTGCTAAAAACCTTAGCCATACCCAAGGAGATCTTATCCTTGATCAAGCGTTAAATGTTATTAGAATCAAAGAGCAACATAGACTCCGGGAGAAAAATGTGACAGAATCCAAACCCAAAGTAAACAATGTAGAATCCAAACCCTTTCCTAAACACAAGAAGCGTCACTTCCACCAAAATCAAAATAAAACGTTTAAGAAGAAATCCTATCATTAGAATAAGAACCATGTCCACTTTCAAAAGAAGGAAGGAGCTGAATATCGAGCCTGCTTTGTTTGTGAACGAACCAACCATCTTGTTAAGGACTGCTTTTACAAAAAGACAGAATCACCCAAGTCTAGGAAGGGAGGACCTCCATCTGATAAGTCACAAGTAAACATGGTGACTTCCACTTCAGCTGAGACTGCTTTCAGGTTTGTTCTCTTCATCCCTGAAGTAAACATGGCCTTTCAAGCAAATGTTTGGTGGATTGACACTGGAGCTAATATTCACGTTTGCTCTAATCAATCTTTGTTTTCCACTTATCATGTCTCAAGTAGAGGAACTGTGTCAATGGGAAATAATAATGTGGCTCCTGTATCTAGAATAGGTCAGATCAACCTAAAACTGACTTCGGATAAAACTTTGATCCTGCAAGATGTCCACCATGTACCAGCCATTAGAAGAAACTTAATTAGCGGATCCTTGTTAGTGCAACAATACTACAAACTTGTTTTTGAATCAAATAAAGTTGTACTAACTAAGGGATTGAATTTTATTGGAAAATAATTTCTATGTGGTGGTCTTTTTAAATTGAATGTTAAGAATTTTACTCCTGCATCTTCAATGGCTTTGAATATTGAACCTTGTATCACTTGGCATCAAAGATTAGGACATGTCAATTATAATTCAATTAAAAGATTGATGCATCTCAATATAATTTCAAAGCTTAATATAAAAGATAATAAAAAATATGAAATGTGTGTAGAAGCTAAACTTTCTACAAAAACCTTCAAAACTATTGATAGAGATTCTGAGATATTAGAACTCACCATAGTGATGTCTGTGATTCTGGAAGAACATCTAGAGGAGGTAACAAATATTTCGTAACTTTCATAGGCGACTGTTCTAAATATTGTTATCTCTATTTAATTAAGACAAAAGATGAAGTGATAAACAAATTAAAATATATATAAAGCAAAAGTTGAAAATCAATTGGATAGGAAAATTAAAATACTAAGATCAGATAGAGGTGGTGAGTACACTTCTATCAATTGGATAGGAAAATTAAAATACTAAGATCAGATAGAGGTGGTGAGTACACTTCTAATGAACTAAAATAATTCTGTGAAGAGAATGGAATTACTAAGATCAGATAGAGGTGGTGAGTACACTTCTAATGAACTAAAATAATTCTGTGAAGAGAATGGAATCATTCATGAAATAACTGCTCCATATATACCTCAATCTAATGGAGTAGTTGAGAGAAAGAATAAAACTTTAATGGACATGGTAAACTCAATGTTAATTAATTCTGGTATGCTAGAGAATCTGTGGGAAGAAGCCCTCATGACTGCTTGCCATATACTAAATAGAATTCCATTCAAGAATTCGGATAAAACCTCTTACACAATTTGAAAGAATAGAAACTCTAATTTAGATCACCTGAAAGTGTGGGGGTGCTTAGCAAAAGTTAAGATACCTAGAAATAAGAGAAAGAAGATTGGCCCTAAACTGTAGATGGAATCTTTATTGGATATGCTTCTGATAATAATGCAAATAGATTTTTAATAATCAACTCAGACATTAATGAGATAGCCAACAACACCATTATTGAAGCTAGGGATGCACTTTACTTTGAAAATATTTTTCCTTACAAAACCAGAGTAAGCAACACATGCCCTAACTCTAGCAACTCAAATCCTAGTTCTAACTAAGATGAACCAAGTTCTAGACAAATCAGACCACTAGAAAATACAGAGGAACCTAGGAGAAGTAAGAGAACTAGAATAGAAAAAGTCCATGAAGACTGTAGGCGTATAAAATTGCTTATAGGTCCCTTAGCACAGCTCGGTACAAACCGACGAACCATCGGGTGACGTATCTAAACACGAGCGTCAGTCCACAACACCGAAGCCAAGTGACACGCAACAAAGCGGATTAACGAGGCGACGAGGTTAACAAATCGCACGCAAGCAACGGAATGCATCCATTCGCGTGCGGAATCAAGCCAACAGTTCGGTGAGTCAACGAGTCATCCAACCATAGAACGGATTTGAACTCAAACACCGAGGCGAATTTACTGCCATATTAGGATTCGGACTGTCAAATCAGAGTCCGGATCAACAACGAAGCGGGTTTACTGCCAAATCAGGATTCAGATCAACAAATCAGAGTCCAAATCAACCACGAGACCGGAAAAACGGCAAAAACCACAACACCCAGGGGACTCGGCCAAAACCGAGCCACCTCTAGGTGGCTCGGTGGCCGGCCCAGATCTGTGCCAAGGCACAGATCTGAGAGCCTATAAATAGACCCCCCTTGGCTCATTTTTAAAGGTTGGAACTTCTAGAGCTGAAACTCTGCCGAATTGAGAACTGAGCTTGGAGTTTTGAAGACTTGAAGACTTGGACATTCAGATCTGGTTCTTGGCGAGCATCCATGTCACAAAAGGCAGGAGTTCGAGAGAGAGAAATCAGATCTGAGATCTACACGAAGTAATACTCCGGATCAAAGCTTGGCCTTTGATCCCGAGAACTAAAGGCTATTATTTCCTTGGTGAAATAGTACCCCCCGGCTGTTATTTCCTTAGTGAGATAACACCCGTCAAATCGTGTAGATCCGACCGGATCTAGATCGCGCGGTGGTCCACGGATAAACCCCGGCGCAGGCGAAGAACCCACCAAAGCGAGTGACCGCAAAACAGGAGCTCGTGATTTGTTCGAAAGGAAAGTTGTAATCTTTTTATTTCTTTTTCTTTGATTTCGTTGTAACCAGATCTTATAAAAAGACCGGATCTTTTGTAATCAAAAAGCAATTACTTGAGAGAACGATGACGTCAATGAAGAACACAATTTTTCCCGCGAACAATCTGGCGACCACAGTGGGAGCCGCCGATCTCGCTGCCGAGATCGGAGCGTCGCAGCCGCGGATCTCAATCCCGGTCGTGGAGGAGGTCGAACACGAGTTCGACCAGCAGAAGTTCGAGGAATACTTGTCGTTCTCGTCCGGATCTACCTCCCCCCCCCGCAAGTCCAAGAAGTTCTTCTCCAGGAGAAAAGTTCGTTGGTTTGAAGAAGTTCAGAACGC